GGGCCAATGACTCTCTCTACCCGGCCTGCTCTGGGCTTGGGCTTATCTCTCTACCTGGCCTGTTATGTGGGCTTGGGCTTACGAAGGACTCACAAGTGTGGGTGCGTGTTGGAATATCACTTGTGAGTGTCCCACATTGATTCTATAGGAAAAATGAGTCTAGTATATAAGCCTAGTGGGCTACTCCTCCTATCACCAATTGGTTTTTGGATGGAACCTCACTAAGGTGCATCTAGGCTCACCCTCTTATGGTGCGCCTTCATCTGGTGGGACCGCACTCTCTTCCCCCGTTTCTAATATCACCAAAACTATAAATGACAAAAGATAATTAGCGTTTTTCAAAATAGATTAATTAATTCGATCAAGAAATGTGTTTCATTAGTTAATTCCCCTACCTATTTACTTTTTTTTTAGAAATTATATTTGGCAATTTTTCATATGCAAATTAGAGTATTGAAAAAAAAAAAAAAAATTGTGAATTTAATAAGGAAAAAGGTGTGTTGTGCTAGTGCATGTGTGTGTGTGTGCGTACGGTGTTGTGTACGTATGGTTTGAGGTTTGGTTAGAATTAATCTAAAGCGTGTGGTCCATATATCTATATGTCAAAGCCCAAAAGTATGTATTGACAATATCATAGAAGATGTAAAACCCACGAGGACTCCATGTGCTTTGCTAACGTGCATTTAAATTCATGTGGACTGGCTAATTTAACGAGAGTTTAAATTAGTAGTTAATTTTGATTCCACAGTCATACTTTTTTTTTTTTCTTTTTATATCGAGGTTTCATGCTTGCGCCTTACTAGGTCCTATAGGAAACAGCTCTAGCCCCTCAGAAATTGTCTCCAGTTAAATTGCGGTAGCCACGCATGCAGTGGCGAAACCAGGATCCCGCTTCGGGAAGGGCCCAATTTGCCTTTAAAAAAAAATTTCACGACAAAACCAAACACAAACACAAATTTTCTCCGATCCAGCTTCCCCTTCATGGCTCCATGCCTCCCTGTTCAGCTGCTCTGTGTTTTCGGATTTCGGATTTTCGGTGGCGTCCCTCCGGCAATCCCGCGGC